ATAGGTCTCACCAAAAACATTCTTGGCCTTTTTTAAATCACAAAAATTAAAGTGAGGATTTTTTGGGTTTCAAACATTTATTTTTTGCAAAATATAATCAAATACCATAATCACAACAGAAAACAGAATTTTCATTACGTTTAATACGTAAAAACATGAAAAATCATTTTTTAAGTCTCACAGAATTGACGCACGTTTTCACTGAAATGATCTAAGTGATCATAACTTAAGAATTAATACAGTTATGATAATAATAAATGTTCTACCGAAAACCATTAAACCAAGATAAAATAAATTAATATAATTTTAAAAAACAATAAAAAAAAATCAACCACGGAAATGATATTTAGTAGGAACGTCATTTCTGTGATACTAAATTATAAGAATCACTGAAGTCATCATATGATAAAAATGTGCGAACTCTCTTATTATAATGTTCTGGGTGTATTCAACAGCCAAAAAATTTACCCTGTTTTGTCTCAGAGGCCTAATTTTGTTTTACCTGTCAGAATAAATTTTATCGACACGTAATTTAGAGCATGATGGTATAGGGGGCTCATTTTCTGAGTTGCATGTAATGATTGTATTGGTGATTACATTTATTCCAACCTAAAATGACGACAAGTGATGTCTGAATGACATTCCAAACAACTCAGTCGCCTGGCTTGAAGATAATCTGGGTTTTCTTTTGTCCAAACAATTTGATGAACTTTCATCATGCCTTGATAGGCTTTTTAAAGCTATTCTGAAAAAGGAGATGTTCTCTATTGACCTAATAAAACATATATCATTTATTGGCATTAACCTAACCAAGAGGTCATTTTTTTTCCAAAAGTTATTTTCCAATTTTTTCAAAAAATAATATCAAAGTTTGATGGTCTGAAATGTCATTCCCCAAAACCACTCGTCGATCATTATGTCTTTTTAAGTAGCCACCTATACCGTCTGGCATCCTTTTAGATGACCAGACTCTGAATAATGCCATACAAAAGTGTTTGTACTAAACACCGAAATAATACAAGTTCTGTGAACAACAAGTTCACAGTAATGACGATGACGGGATTGACGAATCATTTTTAAAATCATGCTACGTCGTGGTTTTAAAAGTTACATATTAATTTATAACTACAACCAAAATAAGTCCCCATGGCATTAAAATAAAGCTATGGTGGCAAAGTAAATACGTTACTACATACCAAAAAAATCCCTAACCGAATTGACGGGCCAAACTTTACCAGAAACGTATATTACATATATTTTTTTAACAAAACTTCATAGTACATAACCTTCTTGTTGGTTAGCACACACAACTGAACTAACAGCAAAAAACAGTGTAACCAGGTAATAAGAGCAGTAATTCAGGTCTCAAAAATTTTTTGTTGGGTGAAAATAGTAGTTCACGGTATTGATTTAAATTTTTGTAACACCTGTATAATGGCTACAAATTTTAATATATTAATAAGAAAAAATAAACTGCTATGTTCTGATGTTTATTGGGATGTGTGAAAACAGATACTGGTAGTTCTTTTTAATTCAAGTGTGTAATATAACTTTTTTCCCAGCTTTTCTGACCAAAAATGTGTTTAGAACAGTTCACGGAGTATGACCACGCTTCTGTTTTGATTTTTTTTTACAAATTAGCAGTAGCAGAGGTATGGTTGAATTTGTTATGTTTTTGGTAAATAGTCACAATAATGTACTACATAGATTTTTTCAGCTTTTGAAATAACTTATAAATAGTTAAACATCACCAAAGAACAGTTTTTTTTGTACTTCGTATAATGACCCTCTTACAGTTGCAATTTACTAATTAGGAATTATGCGAAGAAAAATAGTTTTTCCTAAAAAGATACCACTGTAAAGGTGGTTGGTTACTTGGTTCGCTTCATCGCCTCTCTCTTGTACAATCCCTTGTTCACTCTCTCTTTGATTATGCTGATGTTTGTTTCACTGATATAAATCAACTAATTCTTCTAAAGAAAATATAACTAGAAAAAATTCCACGCGGTCCAGGCAGCAGACGGGACTCGAACCCGCACCCTTCGCGAATGCACTGACCAATTATGCGCGGTCCGTGAGGGCCGTGATAGCATAATTGGTCAGTGCATTCGCCCGGATTTAAACATCAAGCAGTTAAATGCTTTAAAAAAAAATACAACTATTTCTTACTAAATTGGAACGTCTTCTCAATAACACTATTCGTTTCGTCTTTGGTTTACGTAAATACGACCACATTTCAGAATTTCGCAATAGCCTTAAGTGGCTACCTATTCGGGAGCGTAGGTACTTAAGGACGAGAAGAAGTTCTTACCCTTTTCAATTTACTATACGATCCTCACACACCTGGATATCTGAAATCTCGGTTTCAGTTCCTGGGGTCTTCCCATCAATTAAATCTCCGTTCCAAATGGTAATTTAATACTTGAAGTACCCATTCACCATACTGGGTTTGTCTCCAGTTCGTACACCCTTTCTGCCATTCGGCTCTGGAATGCACTTCCTTTAAACGTGCGTAACGCCCCAAACAGGAATGCGTTTAGGTCTTTGGCGCGGAAACATTAATTTGAATTAGGATACCATAATCAGACATATATTATTGTTAGATATGTATTTATGTATGTATATATTTGTGTGTACCTATTATATATGTTGCTATAATGTATATTTATATATGTATGTATGTATAGGTATAAGTAATTAATGCTTTTTAAAGTTTTCTCTGTTCGTTGTCTGCCGTTTCATTTTCTCTGCACCTTCTTTCCGGTTGACTGGTAGAGAATGCCATATTGGCATTAAGTCCGCCATTTGCATAGTAAAGGCAATAAAGATTTAATAAAAAAAATACAACGAACTATCTCTATAGTTTCAAAAAAACTGTCATCTAAACACTGTTCTAAGGTTCTAACCTCACCTAATAATCAGGAACTTGAAAAAAAATTATTAGCTTATAATTCAGCCAATAGGGATGATGACTATTTTTTTTTCTTCGTTTATCAGGTAGATTATCAAAAAGTATCGGACACGTATTTTTTCTTTTTTCACATAATATAAACATTGCTGAGATATATTGATTAGAATAGTCGCATGACGTCACGTTTGAGTACACTTATAAGTGAAAATTCACTCAAAAGTGACGTCACCAGCCCCTACTCCCAAACTTTGACGCGCTATAACTTTGTCATTTTTTGGTTGATTGCCCAAAGAAAAAATACGTGTCCATTATTTTTTGATCATCTAACTGACGAACTAAATAGAATTTCGTTTACTATACCCCGTCATATTATCAGCTTGGGCTGACTGACATTCTCAAATGAAACTCTTTCATACAAGTCGCGATTGGCGTATAAAAGAGGGATTGGATTGCAAACTTTATAATATTCTCTTTTTTTTAAGTTGTGTTGTGTTTCTGTTGGTGGATAAATTCATAGTAAGCACCTGGATCAGACCAGCAAAATGAGCATGGCCGAAACGGCCTTCTCTTCGACTTTTAAAATTAACGGGTTAAGAAATTTATAATCAAAAGATTGATAAATTATCAAACTCCCAGAACGCAAATGACGTAGACGATATCTCGGAATTGAGTTAATCACAGGAACTGATTCGTAATTGATATATTTCGATATTTCTAGGAATTGAGGGACATGAAATTAACCATTGAATGGTTGAACAATTTGAAACGTTTATACAATAGCCGGGTCGGAACTAGCTTGTCATGAGTTAGTAGAACACTCTTGCAAAGCCGCTGTGTACACGTACAAACCGATTCACTTGTAGCGACATCCAATTTCAGAATTGTAATAGTTGTCTATTCAGGGGCATACTTTATTCACCCCCCCCCCCCCCCCCCCCCCAGGTTCGAGTGGTCTAGAGTCTCCAGACGGAGAAGAGACTCCCCTTTGGGGAGATGCTATCCGCCTGGAATACCTCTAGAGGCACTCGCCAATTCTCGGCTTGGGTGCCCTTAGGATCTCGCCGTCTCCAAACCCGGTAACGCTGTAATGGTCATCTGCGACCAACAGCATACACACTCAAAATAAAAATAATCCAGAATGCGAAGAAGAAGCTCGATAGCCCAATGGGTAGCGCTTTCTGTCTATGATAATAAAAGTTAAAAATGCATTCACTCAAAAGTGACGTCACCAGCCCCTACTCCCAAACTTTGACGCGCTATAACTTTGTCATTTTTTGGTTGATTGCCCAAAGAAAAAATACGTGTCCATTATTTTTTGATCATCTAACTGACGAACTAAATAGAATTTCGTTTACTATACCCCGTCATATTTATTAGCTTGGGCTGACTGACATTCTCAAATGAAACTCTTTCATACAAGTCGCGATTGGCGTATAAAAGAGGGATTGGGCATTGCAAACTTTCCACTCAAACTTAAGGCCCATCTGCGGAAATAACCTCTACCTTACAGAAGACTTCAGCTTAATAATATTCTCTTTTTTTTAAGTTGTGTTGTGTTTCTGTTGGTGGATAAATTCATAGTAAGCACCTGGATCAGACCAGCAAAATGAGCATGGCCGAAACGGCCTTCTCTTCGACTTTTAAAATTAACGGGTTAAGAAATTTATAATCAAAAGATTGATAAATTATCAAACTCCCAGAACGCAAATGACGAAGACGATATCTCGGAATTCAGTTAATCGCAGGAACTGATTCGTAATTGATATATTTCGATATTTCTAGGAATTGAGGGACATGAAATTAACCGTTGAATGGTTGAACAATTGGTTGGAATAAATAACCTTTATTAAAGGTAAACTTTTATTATTTAGGTTATAACGATCATTTCACTTTCTGGAAAACGAAACTTATGAAGAAAAATATCGAAACATATTAAGGTTTAAAGAAAGTATAACTAGAAAAAATCCACGCGGACCAGGCAGCAGACGGGACTCGAACCCGCACCCTTCGCTATCCGGGTGAATGCACTGACCAATTATGCTACCGCTAATGATATTAAGGTTTTTTAACAGCGCCATCTTCTTCAACGAAGACAAACGAATGATGAACCAAATACATGCAAGTTACACAGGAAAACTCAAATCAGCAAAAGCAGAGCAAAACAAAGCATGCAGTATGTCCAGGTTGCGTGAAAACTCCGCTAGATGGCGCTGTAAGAATAATAAGTAAAACATTGTCTCGTAGTAATTACTAATTTATTTTTATGTTATATCTGATTCATTATAATTAGTAAGTTATTTTTATTACAGCCATTATAATATTATAGTTACACTTAGGTCTACGAAGATCTCAAATGCTTAAAACTAGTTAAATCTGATTATTAATTTAATTTACTTACTTAAAAATGTTATAATACATTTATTATTTCACTTTAAATAAATAAAACCCTATAACAAAATCTTAATTCTTTGCTGCGAATGTGAAAGCCTATCGACAGATAGGGTAGATTCCTGATCAAAAGATGCTATTTTCCGAATATTCGACCAAAAAGTGCTATTTCCATTTTTAATTACTTGATTTTGTGTTTTTTATTAATAACAATAATAAATAAATTTACCCTAAAAATAAGTGACCTCCCCAAGAATTACCTCAATAAAAAAAATACACTTCCCATACATCATGAAATCGGCATACGTTTTTTTTTTTAATTTTATCAACATTCACTTAGCATGAAAATAGCCCCTTTCGAACAGATGCTCCTCAAATGTCAATACAAACAAGTTTTCTTTTTAAGAGAATGCGTATTTACAATTAGATATTTGAAGAACTTAGAAGTCTTTTAGAAGAAAATCGAGTTAGTTTGAATTTAGAAACTTTTTCGTATTCTCAAAATTAAAAACACTTCAGAAAACTAATACGGGTATCCTTAGTCTATGGCCAAAACTCATAATATTAATAGTCAACAATATGTCACAGGGAGGATGAAAATCTATCGTATCATATAGTATTGATTAGAAAATAACAACTTTGTAGGGATAACAATCATGTAAGAGAAAATCTAACTTAATGTCAGGAATCAAATTGGTTGAGAGCACATGGGGCGTAAGTGGCGTAAATTTAAATCCAGTAACAATAAGCTTATAATAATAATATAACTTGAGGTAGCTAAACATTGTCTACCGCAGCATAAAAAAAACTAAGAAGTCTGTTTTCTAACAAAGGAACAACATGAGCATAGGTATAATGACGGGATAAAATAAGTGAATTTCTATTTAATCCAACAGTTAGATTATCAAACGAAAATTGGACAATTATTTTCTATTTAGTCGATCAAAAGTGTCGTCATTTCTAAGTAAAAATTGTACCAAGACTTGATGGCATGTCACGTGTCGCGCGACAATCATTATCATCTTTTTAATGTTTGACAGCAGCAGTGTATTTCTGCCATCACTCCTATCAGGCCCTATCAGAACATCAGCGCTGATGCGACCATCGTCGCACCAGGGTCCTGGTTAACCCTTATTATTATTGCTATTCTATATTTTTTAATGATTTGTCATTTATTGTATATATGAAATTAGGGTTAAAAAAAGAAAAAATACTTGTCCAAACCTCTTTGACAGTCTACTTGATAGACAAAGAAAAAAAAACGAGCGACCACTCTAGTGAAGTGAAACTTCTTTAGCTCCATCCGTATGTATATATGTGTGTGTACACTATATATACGTATGTACATATAAATATTTCATTTACTAAATATAAGAGATAGACAGAAAGAAAATGTCCGCGCGAACTGCTTTCTCTTGCTTATTTCCCCCACTCAACTCCCGTTTTCCTCGCTCGATCGCACTTTTCGTAACGCGTAACGCATTCGCTAGCTTAAGTCAAGCATGCGTAAAGAAGTTTCATTTCAAAAAAGCGAGCCATCCTCCTTATTATATTATATACAACCAATAGATTATTTATTATTAAATAAACTTAAAACTTAATTTCCTATACTCATAATATTATTTACTTACTTAGCAAGGAACTTTATTAACTTAATAGTACGTGAATGACTTATCACTGCTTCAACCAGAGCAGTTGCAGTATGAAATTCCATAATATAACGCACATTGATTAACATCAAATCAGTATTAAACTATGTCAGTTCCTTCCTACAACCTACGAGTATATAAGAGGCGTAAAGAAGCATTTTGCAGGAAGGCAAGGTAGGGTGAAGTAGTTTTTAAATCTAGTTTTCTTAAATAAAACTAGTTTTAACGAGTTAATGCACGAACTTCATTCATTTATTGACGTTTCGCGTTTTAGCTAGGGTCAAATAAATAAACTCAAAATTACAAAAAAGAATTTTAAATATAGTATACTTTTACTTTTATAGTATACTATTATACTTTATTAACTAATAAATTCATACATAGACAATAAAATTTAAAAAAAAATCCAATGAAATATCCGAACGCTCAATAAAAGTCTTTCGAAGGTATCTCGACAAAGTAAATAAAAAATCATTATTCTGACGATGCAGACCTGAAAAGGCTGCGAAACGTTAATAAATAAATAAAGTTCGTGCATTAACCCGTTAAAACTAGTTTTATTTAATGAGTGATGTGCGTGTTATCAAATATGTTATCTAGTATTCTTATCTAGTATATTTATATCTGGACGCTACATAGGCAAACTTAAATAATAACTGAATGCAGTAAACTTTTGGCTCGGATATGTTAATATAAGAAAAGCTAAAGGTCCGTGCTGAAATAGTGGCGAATTCATTCCTGCAGCACTATTCCGTATGAACAAACTCACTTTTCACCGCGAAATTCGCCGGTTCAGGAATTTATTTAAAATTGGTGTTATTATTAAAATCTCACCTTAGATTCCGATGTGAAAAGTGAGTTTTTTGGAGTTTACTCCTTAAGAATCGATTTGCATATGTAAGAGGCCCGTTATGAGAAAAATGTGAGGAGTAAAATCTATCGATGAATGACCTCGTTACGTTTTTGGTGCGCATCCTATGTCGCGCAACTTTGACAAACAAAGATGACGGATTGACATTAATAAAATTTTTAAAATCTGAACTGAATTTAGATATTCTTTCTGATAGAGCAATGGGGACAACGAGGTATGGTACAACCATTGATGCGGTATTTTCAAGATTCGTGAACCACGTATCTACGAACGTCCATGTGTCTTATTTTAGTTACTATAAACCACTTGTCACTGTAATTAATAATGCAGACAATGTTGATTTAATTAATATTTAAAAAAATGATGATAGTCTGATAATAATAATAACATAATTTATCAACATTCCTAATGATATATTTATGCACATCTGAAATTGACTATTGTAAAAAGTTTAATGTAAAATATTTCGTCGATTAGTTATAATAAATGTATATGAAATGAATAAATATAATATATTTATATATGTATATTATTTTCATCAATTTGTTAATTTACCCTTTCATACAGTATCAATCTTTTTTTAATTTAAGTTAAATAAACTCTTTTTGCGTCTGGTTAGACTATCGAACTTAAGGAGTAAACTCCAGTCGTGCGTCGGAGCTGACACACACAATTTTTTTTCTTACATAATAGCGCCTTTTGCAGTTTCAGTAATACGCACTTTAAATTTATGCATTCGAAATAGGTAATAAAATAAGTAATATTTGATCACTCAGATGTTTTTTCTCATAAACGTAGTGACATTTATAAGTAAATTAAAACATCACGCTTGATAACAGTGCATATCGAAATAAGTAGGTACTTAACAACTAGAATAATTAATTGTAAATTGATGTGTACAACCGGTATCATTTCAGGTTGACACTTCACCAGAATACTTAAGCTTAAACACAGCCGAAAATATATTCCATTTACGAAGACTTGAATGGTCTTCATCAATAAAACTAACCTAAAACAACGACCTCCGTGGCCGAGTGGTTTGTACGCCGGGTTTCATGGTGTCTCCGACTCGAGAGGTCCTGGGTTCGAATCCCGGTGGGGGCAGATGTTTGTGTGATAAATACGAGCATTTGTACTCCAGTCATAGATCTTTAATACGTATTTCTATATAAATATACTTATATATGTACAGTATATGTATTCTATTATTATTACCCTAGCATCCCATAACACAAGCCTTACAGTGCTTACTTTGGGGCTAGGCTAATTGGTGCGAGTGTTGGAAATATATTATATTATATTATACACATACATAGTCAGAGCAGCAGCCAATGTGAGCATCAATGTCGGATCTATATAATGTCAAGGGTTAAAGATTTGCTAAAGAGCGGACGTGAGCTGAGAGACATTGGAGAAATAGGTATTTGAAAAAACTATTACTGTCATTGCGGTAATGTTGAAAATTGCTTATAAAAATTGCAAAATTCAAGATTGGTTCTCGACGATTTCCTCCTCGAAAATGAGATATATGTAAAATAAATTTTACCCAAAGAATAATTATATTTTATGTATGAAATTTAATTCTTAAGGTATAAAAATGGAAGAGGAATCAGTCGAGAACGTTTGTATGGAAAAAATATTGCCCGCCTTCCCCTCTTAATCATCAAAAGTATTTTTTTTATGTGACAAACAAGCATTTTTCCTGCCTGATGATAAGCGGCCACTTCAGCCTATAGATCCCTGCGATACAAAAAATAACACTCGCACCTTCGTCTACCCTGACCGAATCCACCACGTCTTGGAGCCCTTTTTTTATAACGCAGGCAAAAAATCTTTTTACAGACGACGGCGCCTTCAAGAGCCACACCTCCGAACGGACCTCACACCTGGCTCTCGCAAGTCTTACGGACCCCCCAGTGGCTGCCCACCGAGGACCCTGCAACTCGTACGGGCGCTTTACGGCATAATATCCGCTAAGAAAGTCCTGCGAATACCTTCTACACTACTTAATGCGAAGCTGCGGGGTCCCCATTAGGGATTCTACCACGGCTCCGCACCCAGCAGCTTCTCGGACGTCTTGGAGTCCTGGAACCATTCTCACCGTCAGAAACACAACGCTATCAAAAAGTAGTGCTATTCTTCTGTGGTATTCTGTAAGGGGGAGATAACATCCCCAGACAAGCGCCCCAATGAGGACTACCATTTTTTGTATCACCAGATGGTGCCACTGTTGAGTGAGGTCCTGAAGTAGCTTTTAAAGTTTGTTAATAGGCGCGTGAAATCAAAGTTTACATTTAAATCATATTTTAATACAAATGGGCCGTATCGTAAACATAATCGGCCATGCCACAGTGTTGTGCAGTTCCGTTTTATTCGGAAAAAAGGAGGACAGAATAATTTTTCTCTGCCCCGTTTTTAAATAATTGACATTCATTGACAGGTTACTCATATTTGACAAGTATTTGCCATAATTCCTCATATCATCATAATCAGCCGATGGACGTCCACTGCTGTACATAGGCCTCTTCTAAGGATCTCCAAACACAACAACCCTGAGCTTTCCGCATCCAGTGGGTCTCCCCGACTCGCTTGATATCGTCAGTCCACCTGGTAAGGGGTCTACCGACACTGTGTTTCCCGGTGCGAGGTCACCATTGAGCACCTTAAGACCCCAACGTTCATCGGTTCGCCAAAAAATGTGCCCCGCCCATTGCCACTTCAGTATGGCGATCCGTTTAGCTATGTCGGTTACTCGAGTTCTTCTACGGATTTCCTCATTTCTGATTCGATCACGTAGAGAAACACCGAGCATAGCTCTCTCCATCGCTCGCTGTTTGACTCCAAACCTTCTTATGATGCCCATTGCCAACGGCCATGTCTCAGTTCCGTATATCATCACTAGTAACACGCACTGTTCGTAGACCTTGGTCTTCAGGCATTGAAGTATTTCTTACAAGAAGATATCGCGAAGTTGCCATAATTAATCTGAGTTATTACCAAATATTTACAACATTATTTTAATTAGAAATAAACCCGCCTAGTCAACCCACAAGCAATAACATTTGACATTTCGGAGATCTCACGCTAAACAAGCGCCTCTAGCGACGGATTCATACGCGATAGCCCTCATTCCATCGGAAAGTACGTGCTACCGCTTTTATCTTATCAGTAGAATAACCTAAACATGGTCAAGGCAGCAGCTGAAGTCAGCATCATCGACGGGTCCACATGGAAGCCTCTGTTGATGCTGCAGGTATCTTCAGTGTTGTTGAAGGTCTTGAACCTAGTGGTTTGTAAGCTGTAGTTGGCTATAGCTTGGTCTAGCTTCGCAGCGTCGCTCTCCTTTAAATGTGGTGTCCGAGTCAACTTCCATATTTCATCTGGAATCAGAGATATCATTATTTCTTTTATGAGCGTCATTTTAAAGAATTTCAATGGGCAACCCCAGGCTTAACGACTACACTGGAGGAAAGTTACACGAAATGGAGGAGAGTTGTAATACAGCAAAGTGCGGGTGTAAAATCTATATATATATATATATTCTAGAACAATAAATCTAAAACTAAAAACCTTAAAAAATAAAGATAATAACTAAAATATATTAATTATCCCATGACTTTATAGTATAATTATGTATATTTTATATTTTAAATGTAAGTTACAATCACTGATAGAAAAATATTTTTAATTATATTACAGCTACAAAGATGTATATACGTGACGTACTTATCCATATTATGACGCTTACAAAATTTTAAATCGTTATATCTCAGGAACGGTGGTTCTTGGGAAAAATAATATTACTACCTTTTTTATGGATATTTTTATGATCTACAATTCTTGTCTGAAGTAATTATACGATAAAACATGCCGTTTTGATGAAAATTGCGAAAAACACACTTTTTTGAACTATGGTCTTGAGTATTTTTTTTTCCTATTTATAGGAGCGATGGGAAATTTTGAAATGTTATTGTTTTGAGCAATTTTACTCACTTTCAGCTTGATGTGAATTTATGTTCCTTCACTCGCGTTGATACCTCACATTTTTTCTGTCTAGTTTGACCGGACTATTAGTGCAATCGGTCGAAAGTTTTACGCGCTCATAAATTTAGGAGGTTAATTTTTATTTAAACATATTTTTTATATAGTTAAAATATTTTTTACGGATATTTTATCTCAGAAGTTGTTGTATCTTTATTATTGTTACTTCGTGATATTTTCGCGGAAAAGAACAAATGCCCGACCGTTTCCGTGCCACTAAACTTGACCTCCAGTGAACCAACAAATCGATTTCGCTACCGGTGACAAAAAACAAATGAGCGCAACAGCTGATGAAGAGAAAAAACTAAGTTTTGAGACCAATTAAGTGATGGAAACATCATCTGCTTTTTACCTAAGTTGCATTTCACTTGCAGTTCTTATACGTACCAGCACATATTAAGAAAAGTCCCTCATTATGCTCGCGATTATTTCCAAATCTACAGATAAACTAAGATTTCCATGCTGTTTTTACTACCAGATAGATGCATCTATCTATATATATAAAACTCAAAGGTCAAGACTGACTGACTGACATAGTGATCTATCAACGCACAGCCCAAACCACTAGACGGATCGGGCTGAAATTTGGCATGCAGGTAGATGTTATGACGTAGGCATCCGCTAAGAAAGGATTTTGATCAATTCTACCCCAAAGGGGATAAAATAGGGAATGAAAGATTGTATGAAACTTTGTCAATTTTAAACCGATCGGGCTGAGACTTTGCATGCAGGTATAAGAAGAATCATAGATGAATGTCATTGTGTATAATACAAGCCTGAGAACAAAAACTGTAGTCTACACTTCAGCTCTACACCGAAGCGAGGGCGGGCCGCTAGTAACTATATAAAAGAGAAACTTTTTAACGTGAGATTTCTCAATTGAAAAAAAAGGTTACTTTTTCGATATAATATCATAATAAGTTTCCTTTTTACCATTTTCAAAAGCTTCCGCCCTAGCCTAGTATTGTTACGTGATTAGTCGTTAGTAAGCAACTCGTAATCAATAATTATCTATAATATTACTAAATTAGCTCAAATGAGCCAGCTCGAATAGATTCCTATTATCCCTATACAATTTAAGATTCAAACAAAAATGGAAGATACGGCACTCGCGGCTCGAAAGTGTACCGGTTAAATTTATCTTGCTCACCACTTAACATCAGGTGGGGTGCAGTCATTTGCCTACCTCGCTATAAAAAAAAACTGTGGTGCATGAACACAATTCGCTTTAGTCACAATTTGGCATCCAAACACGCTGCATGTGCACTCAATATATATTTGCATATGAGTATATTCTCAGTTGTTAAGAAAAAAATGCCTTCGATGCTTTTAAAAAGAACACAAATAGTTCAAGATTAAATAACAAATTCCAAGGCAACACTTTTTATTAGTAAGATATAAAACATTTTTGTTTTCAAAACGTTTATCATTAATGTTACTTATTTGCCATCTTTACCAAGAAAAGGACAACAGCTCAGCCGTTTGTACATAAAGAAAAGAAAACGCAGTCGGCTGCAAAGCGATGCAGACTCGCCGTTTTGCTAGCGCTGCGTTGAGCGTACAGTACCCCTAGCATGAACCAATATCGAATTCGTATCGTTTGCGAGTCCGAAATGTCATTGTCAAAACTGTACTGATTTCTAGTTATCGTAACGTACTTTGTGCCGCTGCTGTTCAAGTTTCCATACAAAATTTGACAAAGACATTTCGGTTTGCAAACTATTCGAATTCGATAATGGTTCGTGCTAGGGGTACTGTAGCCCGAGAACCCGAGAACTAAAAATCAGTACGGATTTGACAATGACAGTTCGGACTCGCAAACGTTACGACTTCGATTTTAGTTCGTGCTAAGGGTACAGTACCCCTAGCACGAACCATTATCGAATTCGAATAGTTTGCAAACCGAAATGTCAATGTCATGTATGGAAACTTGAACAACAGCGGCACAAAGTACGTAAAGAGAATTAAAAATAAGTACACATTTGACAATGACATTTCGGACTCGCAAACGATACGACTTCGATATTGGTTGGTGCCCAAGGGTACTTCTATCTCGCTCGCTCGATTGAATGTTTATCTACAGAAGGTGGGAGAGTTGCTTATATAATTGAGTTGGAGCATATCTTATTTGATGTACCGTATCTTCTCATTTTGTTTTAATCAAGTATATATATTTTCAACCTTTAAACCTACCTTATTAAAAAACTAGTATTAAAAAACTGTAAAAAAGATGATCGGTAATTGTCTCGTTCTCAAGTTATGACGTGACCAAGGGAAATATTCATTTTTATAAGTACATAGCGATTTAAAATATCACTTACAGTTACTACTGTTTCCGTCTTCACTATCGTAACAGGAAAACAGCGCGGCATAATGCTCGTAATCCACATCTAGAAACGAATAACTTTCTGATTTCTGATCTGAAAATATAAACAATACCACAATTAAAATTGATTTTTTTTTCATGTTACAGCCCGGTATTTACGTATTCTAATGTTAGTATTGTTATTCTAGTGTGACGCATTCTAATGTTTTTTTTTGTTCTGTGGCTGTTTCAGTTTTAGACAGAGATTTCGCCAATGTCCCGTAGTGAGAGAGACACGATATGAGAGAGATTGCTCGGTATTTATACAAATGAATATTTAATATTTTATCCGAATGACCATTCTTCCTTAAGCTTTTATCATAGTTCTTCTGAAAGCATAACACACACAGAGACAACACAGGGTTAAAATAATATATAAAGTGTAGGTAATTTAATCGGTAGAGCAAAAACGTATTCAATTAAATTTAGAGGGGATATTAACATTATAGTTTGATATTATATTTTTTAATATATTTACATAAACAATAAAAGCCAGGCTTGTCAGAAACTGTTAAAATGGTGTTAAGGTACGGGACGCTGAGTTTTAGGCGGAAGTAGAGGATATAGAAAAGTGTGTTTCTGTCGTTTAAGAAAATGTGGTCTGTGGTGCCTTCCTCAAGACCGCATTCGCAAATGGAGTTATCTAAAATTCTTATTTTTGAGAGAAACACGGAGAAGTGACATGGCGACGCGATCACGACTAATCGTTGTGATAAATCATTGGGTAAATTCACAAAATTTGGCGAACTATGGTTTTCTTAGTATTGCTACCTGGAAGCGACCATAATGGCGGCCTAGAATTTTAGAGTTGCGGCTCCATCTAGTCTCCCATTCAGACTAAAGGTCAGTTTTAGCTAATTGAAGAACATCTGTAGAGTAGTTTTGTAAACGAGAAGGGTTACCCGGAATTGTAGTATTACTATGTACCTTGTTTTTTATGAACTACTGGATTCCATATGTGTTTATTTCGTATGTGTTAAAACCGCAAAGATCAGAAAAGTGTCGTTCCCCGATCTGGTACTTTAAGAATTGTGTGTCGGGAACAAGTGCGAGTGAATAGTGAGAATGTGACCAGTGGTAGGGGTATCGAACGCAATAAAAGATGACGTCAGAGGGTAGACCGATATGTCTGCCAATAACATCTACCTGCAATTACTTCAGTTACTCCGTGATCCTGGTGCTTGCAACAGTGCCGAAATATTGGAGACTCATAAAAAACAAGATACATGGTAACAACTCCGTTAATATCTATATTAAATACTTTTTGCCAAAAAAATTAAACTGCTGAAACACTTGAAAAGTATAAGGTAATATTTTTTTGTCTTTGGTCAAATAAAATTTGGAGTCGGTGCCATGCCAACCCAAGTAGAAATGGGAACTCAGATCTACCAAACATTCATGGCACCACTGCACCGACTCCAAATAATAATTTGACTTAAGATAAAAAGGTTTATGATATTCTGCTTTTCAGTTTTTTCGGTGCTTTAATTTTTTTTGCAAAAAAGTATTTATACTTCAATTTATGGTGATCTCATTAACAAAATAACACTATGAAATAAACTGTTTTATAATGTTTCATAAAATTTGTAGCAAAGCCTTCTGTTTCTTGTTTGCTGTATTCACTTAATCTGAGCATAAAATAAATAATAAACAGAAAAACTCCACAAACAAAAGAATCACCTCGCGCGGCGAGTTATTGGTGTCGATTCTGGCGTGATTCTCTAAACTTAAAACTAAATTTAACATCAGTCTCACCTATTCATTCTGTATAGAGAAGGACAAGGATGCATTGTTGTCAAATTTAAGTTAAGCTTTAGCGAATCATGCCAGAATCGGTCATAAAAACGCCAAAATCTTAATCGTTGTGTGTAACGATCCAGAAAGAAAAATAAATGTCAAAACTGTCAAAAATATACGCAGAATTAGTGTCAACAGTTTTTCTGAATTCATCTCAATCATGAATATTATCAAAAGCACTCCATATTTAAATTATTCTTTGAGCAGACAACTATGCCCTATATGTCTGAATATTCGCACAATAAAAACTAACAAGATTGTAGACGTTTGCACGCACACTGGTCAAAAGTGGGACTCGAACGACTACAGGTTGGCAAGGTTTAATCTTGCTCAGAAGTTGATCAATAAAAGCTGGGCAGTCAACCTTATAGCAGAGATTCCTCCGAGGGAGGTCCCTGATAGGTAATTTCTATCATACCATAAAACTCAGATTATAGAACAAAAGGACCTTTTGTTCTGTAATCGTCGTTCTGAAGTCGCTAACGCTAACGCTGAACAAACTTACGACTGGAGAACCAATCGGCGTAACGTACACCCGCCCGCGCACCTCTGTTTCCTCCCAAGACATCATAATTTTTACTACTGCGCAATAACGGTCAACGCTAGAGTTTCGTGCCGCTACTTATATCACCTTCTTTTTTATTACGCAGGTAAAAAATCTTTTTACAGACGACGGCGCCGTAAAGAGGCGCAAGTCTTACGGACCCCCCAGTGGCTGCCCACCTGGGACCCCGCAACTCTTACGGGCGCTTTACGGCATAATATCCGCTAAAAAAGTCCTGCGAATACCTTCACCACTGCCTGATGCGGTGCCGCGGGATTCCCTTGGTGGGATCTCTCCGCATCCCCGCACCTAGCAGCTTCCCGGCCTCGCCAGGGCACTACTTATATCACCTACAAAGTAGCTGTCGGCTGCCCTGGCCTGCAATTTACACGCAGCGGCTGCCGGGCGACTATACCAACGGCTCCATTGTGATACTATTTTTTTTCGTTACTACCAGCCGAATCCTACTTCAAGCAACGTCTTTTCTGTAGTCGATTCGTGCGACTTAACTCAGACGGACAACTTCACTTGGTTAACACAGTGGATTCCTTTCGTTAATATTGTTATGATATTTGTTAAAGGGTGGTGTGGTGCGATGGAGGCAGTGGAGCCGAAGGTCACCCAAAGATCTACATTAATCTGGACAAGCCGGGACCCAACACGTGCGGCTACTGCGGCTTGCGATTCGTTAAGAAAGACTTGCATTGATTCCTGTTAATTTATCTTCAGCTTATTATGGTCTATTCCTGAACCAATGTTATAAAAAATCTTGTATTGTTTTTTTTTAACAAATTCTTTAAAACAAGTGTCTGCGTAAGGTAACTGGTTCTGAGATAAAACTCGCGGACAGGTAAAATTATATCGGAGTCTTTAAGATCCCCTTGCGGTGTCCCATTGTTAACCCGGAATGCTATACCACGTAAATGATTGGTGAGTTACCTGATGTTTAATACTTCATATACACGATGAAGGGAGCGGCGTACGCGGGCCGTATGCTTGTTTTCCACTAACATTCCACATTAAAAAACAAGAAAACTCACCCGTATAAATGACTTGGAGCAAGTCTCCCACTGTCGTGCTGTTACTGTTCGGATCAACGAGCGTAAGGTAACTGTTTACATATACATGATGAAGGGAGCGGCGGACACGGGCCATATGCTTGTTTTCCACTGTTTTAACATTAAGAAACAAGAGAACTCACCCGTATAAGTGACTTGGAGCAAGTCTCCCACTGTCGTGCTGTTACTGTTCGGATCCACAATGATGGACACGGATCCGTTATAGTATGATATAGAGTTGTTCGAGACCCAGCTGATGGATACGTCTGTCGAGTTCATGTGGTTAAACATGAGCATGGCGCAGTCCGCCTGCACGTGGAGGTCTGAGGCCACCGCCGCGATGTACCATTTGCCGTCCAGCTGAAATGAGGAAGCATACCCTTAACATATTAATAAATAAAGTCATTTCCGGTGTCTGTACGCTTTTGAATTACGCACTGGATTTAATGCAGTTTCAGCAATAGATAGAGTGATTCAAGATGAAGGTTTGAATCATCATCATCATCATCAGCCTATTAATGTCCTCACTGCTGGGGCACAGGCCTTCCCTATGGATGGAATAGGGTGATTGGGCCATGACCCACCACGCGGGCCTAGTGCGGATTGGTGGGTGCTAACGACTGCAGATGCAGCCGGGACAAACGGCTTAACGTGCCTTCCGAAGCACGGAGGAGCTCGAGATAGAAGATTTTTGGTCACCCATCCAATGACCGACCACTGCGAAAGTTGCTTAAATTCAATGATCGCAGCCGAACGCGCTATCCAGAAGGTTTGAATGCCGAGACTAAAAACTCTATGATATTAAATAAATGATTTTAACACACCAATTAACCTAGAAGTAATCACTGTAAGGCTGGTATTTGTATATAATATGGAATACTAGGGCTAATGCATATAAACACATATAATATATTATAATAATAAACATATAATGATATAAACAAGTATAAAGGAAATTTCTAGAAATATAGGTATATAAAAAGCCATGACTTAGGTACAAGTGATCGTACTCAGCACCCAAACATTAGCTACACCGGAATAAAAACCGGGGGATCTCTGAGTAGGCGACATCTTGAACACCGACGTACATATAACCCAGCCCACGTAGGTCGTCAATCTAATTAAGAATCTCATTCGCGTTCACACTAAAACAGAGTATTGATTACTTTCTTTGCTTGCACCAAACTACATACACTTAGGCGACTACTTAAAGGTGCTGTCCGACAACCTGTGTTGTCGCGGACGAGGCCGCACCGCGCAGGGTTGCCAATCGAATGAGAACTCGAGAACTTTCGAAATTTAGCAGTATCTATACATTATAATAGGTGATGATACGATGATACGAATAAGGATGCTTTTAGTGATAGCATAATGAATATGTGCTTACTGAGAAGATCCTTTGTGGACTGGACATTTATTTACTTTCTGGTATTTATTATATTTTATGTATGTCATGCATATATATATATTTATATGTGTATGTTTGGTTATATGAGTATTTTATGTATGTGCATCAATTTGTATTTAAGTATTATTATTTTATTTTATTAAATTTTTAGCAACTTTGACCTATCGTCATACTATTTGTCTCCAACACTTATACTGGTTGACTGGTACAGAATGCCTATAGCATTAAGTCCGCCGTTTGCTTATGTTGGCAATAAAGTTTAAATAAATAAATAAAAAAAAATTTGGTTTGTGTACATGATACAAACAGTCCACATTATTCAAATCTCATAGCAAAGTGTACGAGATATCTATTGAACTCGTATCATGTATAGATGAGATAGTTTTTATTTAGAAACTCACGAGACCGCAGTTTTTTGCGGTCCCGCAGCCACCTAAGCTGCTAGATCGGGCGAAGCTGGTGCTACGCCACAAGCAACCACGCTCTGCATCAATATTCAAGAAACTTATTTTGCGTTTTACCTACAATTTCACATTCTACGCTTCGTTTTTTTGATCCTGCAGTGCTCAGCTATCAGGTGTAGGGCTGCAACGATATATCGTTGTGTAATGTTAATTTCAATAATATCGAAATTGAAAATCCCAAATAATATTCGATATTCAGAAGGGTAACTTTAAACATATTATTTATTTATTTATTTTAACTGGTATTACTATCAAAATCTAATTAAATGCAAGTTATGTAATATTATAACCATTGTTTCAGAGTTGCAGGACCCCAAAGCCATAATTCGAACGCTAAAATCTTAACTGTAAACTCCTTTTGGCGGGAAAGACGCTCTATCTAGAGAGTAAATAATCAAAGTGAATTGGTTACTTAGCTTTAAAGTAACAACTAAGCAACAAGTGATTACTTGTTTATATATACGAGAGTGTCTGGAAATAAATACTGCTGACAGAATCTGTGAACGTAAACAGTTTAAGAAACTTGTCATAATTAAGTTAAAAGCTACAAGTTGTTTTTTTATAATAATATTCTAATTAAGGAACTAAGAATTAGAAATAGAATACTGATTTTAGGGATTTTTTTAAGGCGGCTTTCCTAACCATGATACGAATACCAATCAAATGCAGGGATGCAAACAATAAAATGCTTATATTTAGTGATTGGGACAAACGATTCAGAAAAATAAAAATAAATTAATTAATGTCTTTTTTTCTCCATTAGACCAATTAAAGTTGGATTTATTTTTAATGGTTTTAAATTTACCGCCAAAACGCTCGGTGCGATGACGTCTACAGTGTGATATTAACTTTGTGTTATGAATTTTTCTCTGGACGATCTGTGATTACGGAGTAATTATTTTACGATTTCTTTGTTAGATTTAGAGTATTTCGATTTTACTAATTTTCCACAATGGAAGCCGGGTTTCTGAAAGCCGTCTAACTCGTTTTTTTCTTGTTATTTACACAAAGTTGACGTCACACAGTAGACGTTATCGAAACGAGCGTTTTGGCGGTAACTTCAAAACCTTTAAAAATAAATTCAACTTTAATTGGTTTAATGGAGAAAAAAAGACATCTATTAATTTATTTATATTTTTCTGTTAAATCGTTTGTCCCAATCTTTAAATATAAGCAGTTTTCAAAAATTTGGGAAATACCCTATTTAATTTAAATAAGTATGTTTTTCCCTTGAATATGTGTTAGTCATACTTATAATGTATTTTACCGGAATTATCTCATTACTCATGCAATAACCTGATTTAGCTATCTTGATGAATCAGTATGATACTATCTCTCCTCCTATATTATTTGTGAATTTTGGATAAGATTTTAATGCGTTCGTGCATAGGCTATCAATTCAGTTTTATAGTAACTTGTACCTTATACCACAAAAAAAAATAGAGTTTTTGTAGTTATGAAGGTATATTTACAACAACTGAGTCTACAACGAAAGAAATCTAATGTAGTTCAGTGGTTTATTTTATTAATAAAAAATAAAAACCTACTTAATAAAACTAAGCCAAATTACGTTTTAATAATAAATAGCGCATACTTTTTACATTTAAAGTCAAATTATCATTTGGAGTCGGTGTCATCATGCGTATGTATTGATAGATCTGAGCTGACCATTCATGACCCCCATGACTACCCCCCCCCCCCCCCTGGATCTGCCCTTGGATATTGTATTATTCGTCCATTTGCGTGTGTTTGTGCGCGAACATATTCGTGGATGCCACTGTCAGAACTGGGCCGAATTGAAATAGGACCACACGGGAAGTGAAAAATCAAATAAAAAAGAATCATAAAATCGGTTCACACAATCGAAAATTCTGAGCTATCAAACATAAATGAAATCTAAATAAAACAAGTTTCAACGGGTGAGATGCACTGATTTTATATATTTGCAGGAATGCGCCGTCAGAATAATGATCTTTTTATTTACTTTGTCGAGCAACCTTCGAAAGACTTGTATTGAACGTTCGGATATTTCATTGGAAGATTTTTAAAACTTTATTGTCTATGTATGACTTTATTAGCTAATTTAATTAATTTATTAAATTAGGCACTCTCTTCGGGGCACAATATTAGCGCTACAGAGCAACATCACCATGCTCGGTATGGGAGTTTGCTCGGACTACATCGAAACTGTGATCAAAACAGCTTCTCGCAAACTTCTGTCTTTAAAAAGGTGAGGCGTCTTTTTACGCCTAATCAACTGTGCTTATTGTACAAAACACAATTGCGGTACTACGTGGAATATTGCTCGCACCTCTGGTATGGCTCCGCTAAGTACTTACTCGATGCTTTGGATAGGTTACAGGGGCGCTGCCCGCTTTATTGGCGATGAAGAGGTAACAAACAAACTCGAGTCTCTACATTTACGCCGCGATGTGGTATCACTGAGCGCATTCTACCAACTATACCACGGTGATTGTTCTGAGGAGTTTCGCTTATCCCTCCATCACCTTTTCGTCAGAGGACCACGCGCGCTAGCCCACTTTGTCAACGACTTACTAAGCCACTATTCCTACACGAACAAAGAAATTTGGTGACTCATTTCTTTGTCGTACTATTAGCAAGTGGAATTCTTTGTTCCCCCCTTCATACAATCTGGGATCCTTTAAGAGAGGCGTGAAGAAGCATTCCTGCAAGCCGGCAAGTTGAAAATGGTTTGTGTGACAGTTTATAACTGCTTTGGACTTCGCCTTTGGACTTTATCACCACTTAGTATCAGGTGGGGTAGAGTTATTTACCTACCAGGCTATATAAAAAAAATGTATTTCTCCATATAACTGGATCCGGCGTTATGAGAACCTGTCCTTTTGCGAATCTGACCAAGTGCGAAGGTATGGAAAACGTCGTAAGTTAATCACTTTACCTACCCAGACATTAATCATTTTAACTAAGAAATCGTAAAATACCGTATAGTATATTGTTTAGTAAGCCAACAAAGAACTTTATATTTTAAAACCGAGAGTGTTTATTAAAATCCAGAGCAGAGCAAAGCATTCAAGGTCGCTCGAGCTTTAAAATAATGTTGCTTCCGAGGTGGACACTCCTTTAAATAAAATAAATAAATATTTCCAACACTCACACCAATTAGCCTAGCCCCAAAGTAAGCACTATAAGACTTTTGTTATGGGATACTAGGGTAACGGATAAAATACATATACTTTACATATATAAGTATATTTATATAGAAATACATATTAAACATCCATGACTGGAGTACAAATGCTCGTGTTCATCACACAAACGTCTGCCCCCACCGGGATTCGAACCCGGGACCTCTCGAGTCGGCGACGCCATGAAACCCGGCGTACAAACCCGGTGGCCACGGAGGTCGTCATCGTCTTTGTATCACATTACTATTTTTCCGCGATGACAAAATTAGTAAATGCAAGTATGAATGTAAATTAATAAAAGTACGTTTATTAATTGACATACAAGAACAACAAGACAATCTTGAAAATGGGTCTTGGAAAAACACATTTTATGAAAAAGATTTCACCATTCTTGCATTTTTCCGATGAAATTTGCATATGCTTATATTCATATTTTTTGCGGGATTTTGTAGGTTTAAAAGACTTTGTATCACATTTTTACTATACTTTCGTTATCACTATTCGAGGAACACACTCGTTATTTATAAAAAAACAATAAAGTCGAATTTAAATAAACAATTAAGAACGAAAGCGGAATGTGTTTCGCGGGTTTGACTTTTTCACAATCTTTTTTTTATTTTACGAATGCGTAGTGTAAGCTTTGACTTGTTCATAAACCCCCTTATTAATAAACGAGGAATAGAATAAGTTACGTCGTGTTTTGTATATCACTCAAATAACATTCAATGAACAGAAACAAAACATGGAGTAGCTAAAACAAGCTTAGTCTTCGCTTATTAATGCGGGGGGGAATGTTCGTGATTGAACTCTATGGTGTTTGGTTGATTCGAACTTTTACTAACAATATCCGCGTTCGTAATTCAAAATCACTTTTAGTCCCTAGAGATTTAAACGCTATTCTGGTCCCCGGAAACGGAGAACCAACGAGCTCTTTAAGAATAGATGTGAAAAAAAAACTGACGGTAAGCAACAGGCAGATTGCCAACAAGTTAAGATAAAAAGTTCAATAACTTTATCCTTAAATATTTTATGGCCAATGAAACAAAAAAGTATACTGTGGCAAATTTTGCCCTCTATAGGCGTAATACATAGTTTATCAAGAATCTCATTAGAATACCCAGTCAATTGCCATGAATTTATTGAATCGTAATGAAAATTATTTTTTTCCAAACTTACCGCTTTCCAATCTAGCTCCCTTGGGGTAATCCTGGGACAAGTAGTGTTGCGCAAAACCGATTCCACTTTACACAGAAAAAGTCCTAAGATAGCACAATAGACTAGCATGATGGAACCTTGTCGCCACGAACCGTGCACTACGGATGTGCATCAACTGAACCGAGTTTGACTCTTTTACCTCATTTATATCGTTTTTTTCCCATCGCAGTTTCTTTTTTATTGTGAAATAAAAAATGCTTTTGCTTTGCCCAAGAAGGGACTACAAGATTTAATACTGAACTGGAGCAAACAGCATCAAAAACAAACACGTTTTTAATCGGACCCATCGCAAACTTTCATTCCCTTTAACTTCCTTTCAAAATTTAATTCATGACAAAAATGTCCTATATCTTTTACTTCAATACCAAAATTCATCAAAACCTCTTCAGCGATCTATAGGCGTAAAAACGTCAAAGACCGACAGGACATACTTACATGGATGATCAAAGGTTCAACTTCTTATAGTTTAAATTCTATAATATAAGTCATCATCAGCAGTCCCGCTGGATACCTTAACTTTTCACTTTCAGAGAATGAGTCATCACCCACCACACGGGCTCAATGCAATCCGTGTCGTGGATCCGCGCGTCCTTTCTCGCTTGATGCCTACGTCATTTAAACAACCTATTTACTAAATATCATGTCTCTACGACCAAAAGTGTAGGCGTGCGTTAACGCATTATTTAACACTTCAACACACTATCTTTTTTATGAGGGTTGCTTTAGAAAATGAAAACACACATACCATTTTTATTTTATACAGAGTAGGTGTGCAAAATTTTAATCAATCCTATGCACTTTCGGATGATGTCCCATACAAACTTTGACACAAAGTTTTGTAATATCTAGGTATCTACATTACGCAGGCAAAAGCGAAGTAAGACAAAATGATGACTTCGAAATAAAGACAGACGAGACATACTTATCGTACGCACGAACAAAATATATTTTGAAAGATATAAATAAATGAAGCCATCATACTACATAGTTCAATGTTATCCAGTTATCTCATTTTAGAAGCGGATAAAGAATATCTCGATAGCTTAGTTTGTGCAAAGATAACATCTGGTGAAGCTGTGACAATGGGACTAACTTTAATAGTTTTCTATGTAACAATAATAGCAATAATAAATCATGTCAATTGTCAAATGCTTAATTTTGGACCGTGTCCGATAGTGGAGACAGTGAACTTTTTCGACATAGAAAGAGTGAGTATTTGAACTAAAATTTATTCTATAATAGTATGGAAGATAAAATTCAAGCAAGTAATATGTTGCAGTTTAAGCAGCATATTATAAGCGACGATTATCGTAGTTAGATCACCATCTTACGGTGCAGAAATAAGATTACTATCTGTAACTTTATCAGAAACTGGCAAAAGAATTTTGCTTGTTTCTTCAACCATACTTAAAGAGCAAATCCAGCCTAATATTTTCATTTACGCAAAAGTTACACTATCCGACTTTATTGCTAGATCTTGCTAGCACTGGGCCCACATCACGTCACGGCACAATCCCCTATTCTATCCAAAGGGAAAGCAGGTATCCCAGCAGTGGGGGCATTAATAGGTTGTGATAATGATTACAATATTACAAAACCCTCTTTCAGTTTCTTGGTAGCTGGTACGTCATAGAACGGTATCCCACATGGTATGAAGACGGCCAGTGTTCCCACAAGCGGTTCGAGGCTTGCGGCAGAAGAATCGAGATCGAACATGTATTCATTAGGGAAGGAGTACAGTTCGTATTGCAAGTGAATAGCAGTTACAATCCCGGTGACGAAGCTGTGTTCCAGATGCAAGACAATATTATTGGTATGGTTTGTTCTTCGTTCTATAACTCTATAGGTAATACAAATTTCATAGATTTCGTTTTTCCTTCATTAAGTAATACATTATTAACATTGAACCAGTGGACTACCTTTAGAGATACAACTGTTCACGTCGTCAATGTCTGTTTTCGTCAATCCGCGAAAAATTCTATCTCATGGTTATCTCTTATATAATAAGGTAAGTCATTAATATAAATTAAAAATAAGAAAGAACCAAGGATTGAGCCCTGCGGAACACCCATCTTAACCGGTGAACCCGGAGGCTTATTTCTATTAATGTCAACCCTCTGAATCATATGCCTCAGTTATGATGCAATAAGATCCAGATCGGCATCTCTAAATTCATAGTGGTGGAGTTTCAATATAATTCAAATTTCAAATTCAAGAATATGATCAAAAAAAGTATTGCAAAAGTTTTTAACTATTTCATGCTTTACACACTTTACTGATATAGAAAAAGTAATAGCCAAGGCATATAAGAATCTAACTTGTAAAAATAACTTACTGAAATCATGAAAATATCTTGGAAACTGATGACAATGGCTCACAACAAAGTCAGTAACGATCACTGGTTGTTTTTAAGTAATTTCACTCATTTTACAATCGTTTTTATATACGAGTATTTACACTTAGTGTTTAATAACAATTACTAAGATTTATAATTTTTATTAAATAAAAATAATAGGACAATTCAAAATCAGCTATTGCGCCAAGGAAGCAAACCGAAGAAGGTCGCTATTTGTAATCTAAAGATTTTACTAACGCTGTAGAAATATTGTTGTCGGTGCGTGTTATTACTAATAGTAATTCCACGTTGTTAAGCAACTTTTAGAATAAAGAACTATACATATAATCGAGTATTTAATTGAATTGAGCTTATTGGACCATATTCAAACCTCTGAAGCAATAACAAGGACAGATTTTGAGATTAAACTGAAAATATGCTTTTCGAATAATAAAGATAGCCTGAGGTAGGTTTGCATGTAATAAGATAATGCCTTTTCTTCGAATATAATGCTTTATTAGACACTCACGTCACATTATGAGCATCATGCATACGAAGCAAAGACACCACAGAAACGCGTTTTCAAAATAAAATAAGAACATTATAACATGTAACTACTAGATGTTTAAATCTAAATAAAAGTTTACTAGAAAAAAATCCACGTGGACCAGGCAGCAGACGGGACACCACCTTTCATAAATATTTAGATAAATTATTCTGATTAGTGCCCTAGTTATACTTTATCAATTCTTATATTTCCAGAGAGAATTGGAATACCCATCGAAGTCGTAGCAACAGATTATTCAGAACACGCACTCTTGTATGGCTGCAAGTATCATCCATATCATAATATTAAATACAGTAAGTATAAGCACCTTCCTAATATAATCTATATATATAAAAATGAAACCCGTTTTCCGTTGTCACGACATAACATGAAAACGGCTTGACCGATTTGGTTGATTTTTTTTTTTAGAATATTCCTTGAAGTACGAGGATGGTTCTTACGAAGAGAAAAATTAAAAAAAATGCCTGAAAATGTCAAAATACAAAACTTTTCTTTACTCCCATACAAACGATTCGTAATAATACTTAAAAGTCAATTTGAACTTTAATACCATACCATAAATTTCAAATGTTAGTGGACAGATTCTGGGAAGGCAAAACAATTGAGCGACGTGATGTCAATAGAAGTTTGGAAAAGATAAATATACCATCTTCAGTTTTTTTATATTCTATATATATAAAACTCAAAGGTGACTGACTGACGTAGTAATCTATCAACGCCCAGCCCAAACCACTGGACGGATCGGGCTGAAATTTGGCATGCAGGTAGATGTTATGACGTAGGCATCCGCTAAGAAAGGATTTTGATCAATTCTACCCCCAAGGGGATAAAATAGGGAATGAAAGTTTGTATGAAACTTTGTCAATTTTAAAACCGAACGGGCTGAGACTTTGCATGCAGGTATAAGAATAATCATAGATGAATGTCATTGTGTATAAAACAAGCCTGAGAACAAAAACTGTAGTCTACGCTTCAGCTCTACACCGAAGCGAAGCGAGGGCGGGCCGCTAGTTATTTATAATTAAATTAAATATTAAATCTGGAAGCCGAATCTTAATAATTTAAAATAGGTAAATTATAAGCCCAGTTGATAATTTTGTAACAAACTGTTAGTGAGTAATTGTAAGGAGCCCTGGATCCCTGACGCGGAAGAATCCCTAAACGGGGATCCCGCGGTTTCGCACTAAGCAGCTTAGAGGGTATTCGCAGGGTTTTTAGCGGATATTATGCCGTAAAGCGCCCGTAAGAGTTACGAGGTCCTCAGTGGGCAGCCACTGCGGGGGCTCGTAAGGCTTGCGGCAGCCAGGTGTGAGGTCCGTTCGGTGGTGTGCCTCTTAAAGGCGCCGTCGTCTGTAAACAGAGGCTTTGCCTGCATCATAAAAAAAATAAGGAGTACTGGATCCCTACTCACCAGCACAAACACAACACCACCAAGAGGTAGTGTTATTCCACTGTGGTCTTCTGTAGGTAGGCTTGCCAGGTGTCCATGTTTGGCTTTTTGCAGTCGCGTCCGGCCAAATATGTACGTGTTTGGCCTGTTCGGCTTTTGTCAGGCTTTTTGTCAGAGTGGCGATTCGTACGACGATGGGCGGATTAGCGTCCGAGCGAACAAGAGAGCAAACTGTTAGCGCGCGCGGCGCGTGACCACCCCGCCCCGCTGTCTGATATAATAAATATGTCCGGCTTTTAGGGCAAAATGTCAGACCTTATATAGTGCGCAGTCCGGCCTTTGCATTTTATGGCCTGGCAACCCTATCTGTAGGGTGAAGGTTGCTTTGTTTTGTGGAAGGCGAACTCATCCGAGCGAAAAATCCGCTGTCTTATCTCTCTTAATATCTCTGAAGGGTTTTCCCAAAGGTGTGCAGGTACTCCCCCAGACAGATGCTGAATTCGAGTGGGAAATTAATTCTTATAATTCTTGTGTTTACAGCCTTGGCTTGGATTCTATCTAGAAATCAGACGCTCCCCGAACAGACAATAAACGACTTGAAAACGACCTTCAACAAAATACCGTACAGTAGTCTTAGTTTTCTGGAGCGAGTGCGGCATGACTCCGACATTTGCGCACACAGTTGGACAGCCCACGTGGAGAACAACGACATTGGAAAATAGACTTTATATAAACACAGTGAAGACTTGTTTTTTTTTACTAACTGATTCCAAGTGCTATACGCAATGTATTGAATTCACTATCAACATCCCCGCTGCTAGGGCTCAGACCTTACCTATGGATGTAATAGGGATGATTTGACCATTACTCACCACGCGGGCCCAATGTGGATTGGTGGGTTCTAACCGGGACCAACGGCTTAACGAGCCATCTGAAGCACAGAGGAGCTCGTGGTACTACAGTTTTGGTCACCCATCCAATGACATCCAAGGCGCTATCTACTTGCGCCATCCAGCTCCTCAGCAAAGCCTACATATTATCTTCCATTCTATGCCTACATATTATATTCTATTCTATCTATTTCTTTCCAGATAACTACTGTCATAATTATGACAGTATAGTTAAATATTCTGTAAAGCTGTTTTATGTTTAAGTATATTTGCCAGAACTTGTGCGGTAGAAGAATTATCAACGAGCATGGATGATATCATTTTTATTGACAGAAAATTCGTGATATTTTTAGATATTAGTTAGTACATTTAACAGTCTAATGAAAAACACACATGATAAATTATATATAATCCTAGTAGACCCTTAACCAAAACAACGTGAGTCATTTGAAAAATATTGCAAAATTATCGATTGTTGTAGATAAACTAAATGTACTCATGTAAGCGACAGTCATAAGATAAGAATTTATCGGGACACTATAATGCTCAATATAATATGTAGCCAACAAAAGTGCTTGGTTATTATTCTCATAAAGCAAGCATATAAATTTATTTATCGATACTGCTTTTTACCTGATGGAATAAATGACTTAATAATATTTGTAATTATATGAAAAGCGTAATGGGAGGAGCTCGATGGCGCGGTTGGTTAGCGCGTTCAGCTGCGATGGTTGAAGTTAAGCAACTTTCGCAGTGGTCGGTCATTGGATGGGTGACCATAAATCTTCTATCTCGTGTTCCTTTTTTTTAAGCCGTTGGTCCCGGCTGCATCTGCAGTCGTTAGCACCCGCCAATCCACACTAGGCCCGCTTGGTGGGTCATTCATGGCCGAATCTCCCTATTCCATCTATAGGGAAGGTCTGTGTCCCGCAGTGGGGACATTAATTGGCTGATGATGATGATCACTTGAGGTTTTTAAATCGTTTTCAAGCTCCGTGGTATATTTTTTTCTTGTTTATAATCCTTGGCTAATTTCTGTATTAAGGCGCAAGTACACTTAGTCGTTCGCCCGTATTCGGGTGCACGAAAGACTACTCGATTTCGGGCACCTGTGCCCCAGCAGTGGGGACATTAATAGGCTGATGATGATGAATGGGATGGCGTCAATGTAGACAAGACAATTCATGATTGTTAACCAGATGCCCAAGCAGGAAATTTGACCGCTCCGTATCTCATCTTCAAAGTTTCTATAGTAACTGGACGTAAGAACAAACTGGCTCCTTCCATACAAAATTTGAAGATGTCGATACGATTACGGATCGTACCCCTAGCACGAACCATTATCGAATTCGAAAAGTTTACAAATCGAAATGTCAATGTCAAATTTTGTATGGAAACTTGAACAGCACAAGTACGTAACAAGAACTAAAAATCAGTAACCGTTACGATTTCGATATTGATTCGTACTGGCCTCCATGAACTGCGTTGAAATGACTGCGTATTTTCAACAATACATTTAAATCTTTACGTGACAAAAAAATGAATGAATGAATGAATGAATACTCTTTATTGCACTATTACAAAAAAAACAATAAACATAAAACAGGAACGCAAACACAAAAGGCGGCCTTATTGCTAAGGTAGCAATTTCTACCAGGCAACCTTTGGCTAAATGAAACGATACCATAAGAATAGTAGAAACAGCGGGCTGTGCATTGTAAAAATAAATTAATAAACGTAAATATAGGAAAATAAAATATAGAAAGTATATGGAAGCTATAAAATACAATACAAAGTAATGAACATATAAAAAGATCAGCCAGAGTCCAGCTTGAGAAAATAATCCTTAACTTTAATAGCAAAGGAGTCCCTCGTCCGTGCACGTTTAATATCTAAAGGTAAAGAGTTCCACAATTTAACGGCTCTTACATAAAATGACTTGGCTACGAAGTCAGTGGAGTGGGGTGGGATAACTAAGGATAGGTTATGAGAAGACCGAAGGTCACGAACAGGATTAAATGAGTGAAAAGTGAAACGCTCCTTAAGATAGAGAGGAGTGTGTGGATGAAAGAGGATAGAATAAAGGAGTGATAGGATGTGACAGTCTCTTCTACGAGAAATGGGTAGCCATTGAAGTTGGGAACGATAATAAGAGATATGGTCGTACTTACGCAGACCGAAAATGAATCTAATACATAAATTCTGCAGACGCTCGAGTTTATTAAGAAGAACAACACTAAGGTCAGGGTAACACGCATCGGCATAGTCAAGCAACGGGAGAAGAAGGGACTGTGCAAGAGAAATTTTAGTCTTGGTCGGCAACAGGTTTTTCAGGCGCTTCAGTGAGCCATACGCACCAAAAACTCTCCTACTAACTTCACCAACATGGTGACTCCAAGACAAGTTACTGTCAAACAACACACCAAGATTTTTTACAGTGTCCTGAAGTGGTATGTGGATGCCGTTTAACAAAATCGGTGGCAGAGCGCTTTTGTTGATTCTAGCATTATACCAATGGCTTCCGATAATTACAGCTTGCGTTTTGCGCGGGTTAACCAACAGACCATGCCGCCGACTCCAGTCAGATATGAGTTCCAGATCGTTGTTTGTAACTGTGATGGCTGTAGGTAATTCCTCTATAGAAGTTTGAGTATATATTTGGAGATCGTCTGCATACATATGATAGGAAGAAGAGAGAGGAAGAGTTATTGAATTTATGAAAATAGAGAAAAGGAGAGGAGACAAAACGCCACCCTGCGGAACGCCGGCTGTTGAATCACACCATGATGAAAAATATCCATCCACGCATATGCGCTGCCGCCGCCCATGCAGGTAACTATGAAACCAATCAATTACTGGTGGAGATACATTGAGAGAAACCAACATAGCCAATAAGATATCAAAATCAACCATATTAAATGCGTTACTAAAATCTAACAGCGTCAATACAGTGAGCTGCCGATTTTCCATACCCATACGTATATCATCTGCGATTTTGACAAGTGCAGTAGTCGTACTATGACCGGGACGGAAACCGGATTGAAGTGGATTTAGAAGATTGTTCATGGAAAGGAATCTACTTAACTGTTGATGGACTAACTTTTCGAGGACTTTGGAAAGGAAAGGCAATATTGAAATAGGACGATAATCAGAAAAGGACTCAGGTTTGGATTTCTTAGGTAAAGGAATAATATTAGCTTCTTTCCATGCAGAAGGATAAACAGATGACGATATGGATTTATTAAGGATTTTCGTAATTACAGGAGTGAGGATATCTAGTAGAGGAATGATCATATTACGACTAATGCAATCGCTACCGATGGCATTGGACGATACAGCAATGATATTTCTCTCAATGTCACACTCGGTAAATTGTTTTATGAAAAAATTAGTGAAAGATGGTGTTGGCGAAGAAGAAAGCGTATTCAAAGTATGATTTTTGATTATTCCATCCATGGAAGTAGATAAGGAAAAGTGAGCATTTAAAGCATTGATATCACTATTTGAAGCAGAGGTAGAGTTGCGTTTAGATTTGCCAATACCAAGCTTATTGAGAAAGCGCCAAACTTTGGCGGTGTCACCATTTTCTACAGACCTATGAATGTGGCGTCTTTGTTTATTCCTGATCAATGTATTGCAGCGATTCCTTATTTCCTTATATCTGGCACGATTGGCATCCGTTGGATTCTTTTTAAATTTAGTTTTTGCGCGGGTCTTTTTTTCAATTATTATGCGTATGTCCTCCGTAAGCCAAGGAGCAGGAACATGCTTGACGCGTACAGGCCGCACGGGAGCGTGAATATCGATAAGACGTATGAGTAAGAAATTAAATAGCTCTATTTGTTCGTCAATGCTATTGAGATCATCAATTGCCGACCAATTAACTTTACGAGCATCTTCTCGCAGAATATCGATATCCATTGCACTGAAATTACGCAATAGTTGGATTGACGCCTTACGTTTAGGGGGACGGATTCGATACGACAAATAAATTAAATCGTGATAAGAAAACTGATAAGCAGGTAATTGACCATGTTTTACAACATGGTCGGAAGATGAAACCATTATAAGGTCTAGCAGAGAAGGGGTGCAGTTTGGAAATTTATGCGTCGCAGAGAGAGGAAGAATATGCATATTACAAGAATTAATTACTGAACGTAACTCTTTGCATCGGGAATCATTTTTTATCAAACAGGTGTTGAAGTCGCCCATTATAATTGAATGAGTATAATTATGAGAAAAATCTTCAAGGAGAAGCTCGAAGGAATGGAAATAATCAATTTTAGAAGATGGGCTGTATAAAACACCTAGAAGAACCTTATTGTGAACTAAGTTGACCTCAATGAAGAGATGTTCAGCAGTATCCTGCGGAGGAGGTTGAGATGATTGACTTAATACAGTGAAAGAGAGATGTGAGCGGAGATAAATTGCTACCCCTCCATGAGAAGAGCTACCACGGTCGTTACGAATCAAATGATAACCTGGAAGCGAGTAAGAAGAAGAAGGAACAGAAGGATGTAGCCAAGTCTCAGAAACTAAAATCGCATGAATATTATTATTGACTAAATAAGTATATAATTCAGTATAATGTGCCGGGATACTTTGCGCGTTTATGTGGATTACGTTCAAATTTTTAGATAAATCACTAAAAGTATCTTGCAGAAGTTCATCAAGGGACGCAGACTCATCACTATGAAGGCTATCCTCAAGACTGGATTGAGAAGAGCAAGAATGAAATATATCAGAATTAATGGAAATATTCATTGTACATAGATAATTAAAACAACAACAAAGAATATACTATTCAATTGGCATACATTTCAATTACCCATAGGCAGTCAATGTCAAATACAA